TAAGGAAATATCAAATCAGCTGTTCATCTGGCTTGGAGGGTCGATATGGCCAGCCACCTTTCTCCTTACTTTCTCTCTCTTAGACATTTTATTTTGGGTTTCGCAATGTTTTTCGTTTCTTCTATTATTTTTTTTCACATGAGCTGCTTTACTGAAACTATCTTGGTGGGAAAAGATTAAAAAAAATTTTAAATGATTTCTCGTCCAAGAAATGAGCCTTACTTTTATTTACAGCCATGGCCAAAAGTTTAAGACCGCCCAACACTTAATTTTTACTAAAACGAAAAAAAAAAAAACATATTTAATTGCATAAAAATAATAGGCAATACTCGCTTGAATGCATAAAACTTTCTTAAACGTAGTTTATTTTCTATTAATTTAAACATAGTAAAATAAATTTTAAATTTTAAATTATCAGCGTCCCTTCTCCTTTGTGTTTTTGTATAACCACATCAACGTGAACACCATTTTAGTCCGATAAATTCCTCGTTTGAAACACGTCACACGAAAATGTTTTCCATTTTGTCATGGATTTTCCTAAAATTGTTTTTGAGATGTAAACATTTAAACTAGTATTTTGTATGGCCAACTTTCGCCTTGATTATAACTGGGCACTTCGACTTGGTGTATTGTTTAGCAGGACTCACTCGATAGATCAATTACGGCTGAGTAGGGAGTTCGAGCCTCACTGGGGGATCCACACTTTCGGCATTGTGATACATCTAAGTTATACTTAGAAAATCATTTCGGGCACTTCGACGGGGTGTAATGGATAACAAGGGACCATTACAACTGAGTAGTGAGTTCAATCCTCACTGGGTGCTCCATACTTTCGGTCTTGTGCCACATCTATGCTACGCTTAGAAAATCACAATACAATAGAGCATTAAACTCAGACAATATCGTATTGAATTTAATTACTGGCTGATAAGTCTGGTACTATATAGTTCATGTAATATCTGTCTATATTTCTGAGATGGGGTATTATGTATACTATTTACATTATTTGGACTATTGTCCTCATCTTTGTCGCCATATTTGTTACAACGTTTCGGTCGTTGTACGCTCCGGCCTTCTTCAGGTGGTTGGAATGTCGAACTGAACCCTTCGCTCACTGAGGCAGACTGTTCTAGTTCCACGTGCCATGTTTTAATGGATATCAGTTATCAGTTATCTCCTGCTAATTCCCCTCTGCAAGTTCTCCACTGCCTTAACCAGGTATTGAACTCACACTCTTTGGGTCCTGTCACTGGATCTAACCAACGCCTTTATCCACTCAAGGACACTTGGCACAGTGAATTCCAAACACCTGACGAAGGCCGGAGCGTACAACGGCCGAAACATTGTGATAAATATGGCAACAAAGATGAAGACAATAGTCCGAATAATGTAAATAGTGTATAGTTCATGTAATCCACCAATTTTCTATGGGATTGAGATCAGTCCATTCCAACCTATTGATGTCCAACTTTCAGCTTGATAACTGCTTCAATACGATAAAGCATTAAACTCAGACAATATTCAATCGAAATCAAAGTACTCATTTGATTGCATTCACAAGAGCCTGTGCATTGCTTGTTTGATTGCCTGCGACTCTATAGTTCATATAATCCCAGACATTTTCTATGCGACTGATGTCAGAGCTGTTGCCAGTCCAATTGCAACATACTGACAGTAACCTTCTTAAGATACACTATTTACATTATTCGACATTCCAACCATCTGACGAAGGCCGGAGCGTACAACGGCCGAAACGTTATAATAAATATGCCGACAAAGATGAGGACAATAGTCCGAATAATGTAAATAGTGTACATAATACCTCATCTCAGAAATATAGACAGATACTGAAAGGCCGAAACGTTGTGATAAATATGGCGACAAAGATGAGGACAATAGTCCGAATAATGTAAATAGTGTACATAATACCTCATCTCAGAAAAATAGACAGATACTGAAAGGCCGAAACGTTGTGATAAATATGCCGACAAAGATGAGGACAATAGTCCGAATAATGTAAATAGTGTACATAATACCTCATCTCAGAAATATAGACAGATACCGAAAGGCCGAAACGTTGTAATAAATATGGCGACAAAGATGAGGACAATAGTCCGAATAATGTAAGTAGTGTACATAATACCTCATCTCAGAAATATAGACAGATAACCTTCTTATGATATTCTTCAAATTTCTATGCCGTATGGAATGGTACACCATCATGAATAAATACGATGCAACGATGTATGCGCATGTGGACTCCTTTTAACCATTCGCGGTTATTCCAGGGTTTAGGAAATAAATTCTAAATAATCTATAAATACATATAATGATATAGAAAATGATTCGATTAAATATAAAATAATATTTTGTAGGGCCATATTTCGCCTTGTTAAACATTACACTACGGCAAGGCTATTGAACTAAAAATATTTTACAGAAACCCCAATATTCCAGACGTCTTTAATAATGTCTACAAGAGTTTTGGCATTTGGCTAACTTTTTGCCTGTAACCTTATTGTTCACGTAACCCCAGAGATTTTCTATGGGATTAAGATCAGTGCTTCTTAAATATTTCTTACATTTTCTATTTTATGGCATGGGGCACAATCATGCTTATTGGTTAATTCATTGATCGATTTGTTTTACGGTTTATCTGCCCTCTGTGTGTTATTTAAAGCCGAAAGTGATTTCTTAGATTGTAAGAATAATACTTATTTACGACTGAATATTGAACATGAATATGAAAATTTTTTGTTAGGATGACAATGATTGTTTTCCAGATACAAGTCCTACTATTTAACCTATAGCTGGGTGGGGAAGGCGAAGTGTTGGATTACATAACTTTCCCAGAGTTAAATAGGACGAACGGGAATGTACCGAATGAGACTGGAATTCGAACTCGTCTCTTCGATTTCTTATGCTAGCCGCTATCCCTATCGTACATAAGAATGTGAATCCCTAGTTTATCCTGCAAAAGTTCGATTTGACCATTCATGGATGTTCCAAGGCCCAGGAAACAGAAACCATCTCTTCTAAATTTCTCATCTTGGCTGGGGGGGACTTTCATACTTTGTATGGTAAATCTTTCATCATATCTCTTTCCTGGAAGCCTTTTTCAGATAATGAAACTGTAAACAGCACTTACCGGCGTAAAGGTCCCAGCTAGCGTCCAGCTGGCAGACAAAAATAAAGCAGGTTTTAACTTAATACAAACCCTGCAAACTAACTGATTAATCAAGCTGGTATTTATATAGAAATACCTCCACTCAGGTACCAGCAGCCAATCACAGCCCAAGCAATGGACTATCCCACTTTAGCACAATGAGATGCTCCATGGCAACATAAATAGCTCTCTTTCTAAAGGTTGGATTATTATTCACTTAGCTTGCTCCACAACTGAGTGTTTATCTCTACCACGTGATTTTTCTACAGAAACAAAAACAAGAATCAATGTGGATTCATAAAAAAAAAAGGAATAACGTTTTTCTATTGTTTTTGCTGATCAAATGTTCGTGCTTTTTAGTGAATGCTGGCTGCTTCTTGTCTATTTCTATAGCCAATTTGGGTTTTCACGTAGAATTCCTGGATAATGTTAGTTGAAATTCATTGACCAATCTGCAAGAAACAGTCCCCCACGATTCACATCTGGACCCCTGAAAAGCAGAGCAGCTAGAATTATTTTTACATGAACTTATGAGAGAACAAGAAACAAGGGATTTGCTGATACCATTTTCTGTAGGGTATTTTTCTTCTGACACGTGAACTTTTATTTTGGTCGGAATAAGAGTCGTCATGTCATTGACGTTGGCATTGTGAACTGTAAAAGCATTAGAAATATCATTAATGTTATGGTCCGGTTCCTTGTACCACGGTGATAGTCCAAGGTAGAACCAATAAAGAAGAACTCGAACACGTATATGGAATAACACAGATATATTACAAACAGGAATATATACAGAGAAGTAGAAAGTGTTAATACGAATAATCAGGTTTAGTAGAGAGAACAATGTAGTCTCGACCAGTATCACTATTCCAATGCCTTGCAGTAATTGTCTGAACGCGACTCTGTTTCGGTCTGCCTCTGACTCGACTGACTGACTTGCTCTGACTGACTGACTGACTCCTGACGGACTTCACCCCAGACTTCAGACTGAACGGTATTTAGTCACACCCACCCCACGAGGGCATCATGTGGCACAAGGCCGGTTTAACGTGGGTTCTCCGAGCCTGTGGGCTCGGCCAAAAATATGCCCTTTGAACCCGTATAAACGGGTTCAGGGTCAGTTTACCTCCCCGAAAGAGACTTCGCTTTTCGGCGTAGCCTCGTTCGGGTTCCTCCCCGCCCGAAGGCAGAGAGTTCAACCGATCAGCCGATCAGCCGGTCGCCCCATTTCGGACTGAACGATATCTAGTCACCCCCCCACACACACACACACGAGAGAGCATCATGTGGCACAAAGCCGGTTTGAAGTGGGATCTCCGAGCCCGCGGGCTCGGCCAAAAATATGCCCTTGAACCCGTATAAGAGGTTCAGGGTCGGTTTACCTCCCCGACAGAGACTCCGCCCTTCGAAAAGGTAGGAACCCCCCTCTTCTCCCCCAGCTATGGGTTAATTAATAAGATTTATATCACTGAACTATTATTATATCCAAAGGAAAAATAGAATTGTGTACAAAATATTTAAATCTCGGCATTAAATAACCCATAGAGATTGATATGCCCCTAAACAAAAACAACCAACCAATCAACATTTTTGTACGTTATTTAAAGCCAGAAAAAATTTTTATATTATAAGATTTTTTTTTTTTTTTTTGGTGGGGGCGGATAATAATAATACAATTCTTACTAATTAACCCATAGCTGAGGAGAAAAGAGGTGGATTCATATCTTTTCAAACAGTATCTGCGCGTAAGTGAATATAACGAATGGGAAATGGAACTCGGCTCTCAGATTAATAATTCCGAGCCATTATCCATTACACTACTCGCACATCCAAGCTTACAGAACCTGGTATTTCCGAGCGGTTACCCATCTAGGTACTGGGTATGCTCGACGTTGCTTAACTTCGGTGATTGTACGGAAACCGGTGCTTGAACGTGATGTGACCGTAAGCCTGCAAAGGGTTGATAAACCGTAAAAAACTAATCAATCTATCAGTAAACGAATATCTTTTTTCAGCTGTTATTGAAACCACAACTGCTGTTTTCATATGCTTTTGCTTATATATGTTTGGGTCAATTTCCCCTTTGTTTTCGATCAATTATCTCAATTATCAATTTTTTATTGATAAAAGACAATTCATCTGTGGTCGGAATTAAGTGATTGTCAACCCCGCCACAATATAAACAGGTATTGTTTATTACTTTTCGTGAAATACGTGAATTCTTGCACAGCGATGGCGAGCGTACACACGAGATTAAAGTATACATTTCTTAACACTGTCAATGAAGTGACTGGAAGCGTAATTATGTCACATATTATTGGAGTTCAGGAAAGAGAATATCACTACGGGGACATCATTATTTACCCGCTGCCCCACGCAGCAAGATGTGACACAAGGCCGAGTTTAAAGTGGGGTATCCGAACCCGTAGGCTCGGGCAAAAATTGCCTATAGACCACGTAAAAACGGAGTTAGTTTCCTGAGACGAGAATCTGCCCTTCGGCAGAGCCTTATCAGTGTAGGTATTATCTATGGGGACATCTAGAATAGCGGTTGTCAACTTCTTTTACCCAATGAACACTTTTCACCTCATGTCAGAATATCATTTCCCCTCTTTCTAATATTGTCCGCCTGAAAAGTTGTCTTCCAAATAATATTTCGGTTTGATGCTTTGCTACACGTCATCAGTGATGTTTTTTTAAGCGAGAATCGTTATGGATTTCGGGTCTTTCAACATCATGACCCTTTCTCCACGCTGATCCAGTCGATACTGATTGAATATCAACTTGTGAGCCATCCGTCAGCTTCAAGTGTTCTCATCAGACCCGCAACGCACTGCGAATCGTAGTCGTCCGCCATTTTACAGTCGGGATCACGAACAACTTCCGGTTCACCAGATTCTATTAAAAAAAAGGAAGTGAAAGAATTAACCGTTTCGCTTCTCTCAGGAAATATGACGGCACACTAGCTTTGAAGTGGTAAGTAATGATTTAACGTGGCTCAAATGCGGCACGAGGCCGATTTAAGGGGGGTCACCCAGTGAGGATCGAACTCACTACTCAGTCGTAATTGCACTAGCCAGCCAAGCTTGCTAACCATTACACAACCTCAAGAAGCCCGCTTTGAAGTGGCAAGTAAGGATCTTTCGTTTGACACACACACGCACGCACGCACGCACGCACGCACGCACACACACACACACACACACACAAATAACCAATTCCACCCCAATGCTAATTCCTATTTATTAATCTAAGAGGATTAAAATCAAACCTATCGTCGGAAGGATTACACGAAAATAATTCCTATAAATTTTCTGTCCGTTTAACGAGAGAATTTATTCTTTCAATAAACAAAAAATGTGCGGTGCGGGAATGATGGGGAAAAGTGCAAATCGGCCATTCGCGTGTACCAGGGGAGAATGTTTATCCAATCTGTTACTATCGCAATCTCGCGTGACGTCATGTCGCTTTACAAGACTCGACAATGGTGATGCGCATGTCAGAAGCAATTTTCGGTACCCGAATTGCCAATATGGATGCTGTCACCGTTAATTCACACGAAGCAAGCTCATTTCCGGCTTTAATTATTCATGCAAATGTATTTATTTCAATGCCATATTCAAAGAAATAAAGAAATTAGGGACGGGCAAAAGAAAGAAAGAAAGAAAGAAAGAAAGAAAGAAAGAAAGAAAGAAAGAAAGAAAGAAAGAAAGAAAGAAAGAAATTAATTAGACGGGCAAAAAGAAAGAAAGAAAGAAAGAAAGAAAGAAAGAAAGAAAGAAAGAAAGAAAAAAGAAAGAAGTTAGGGACGGGCAAAAGAAAGAAAGAAAGAAAGAAAGAAAGAAAGAAAGAAAGAAAGAAAGAAAGAAAGAAAGAAGTTAGGGACGGGCAAAAGAAAGAAAGAAATAAAGAAAGAAAGAAATAAAGAAAGAAATTAGGGACGGGCAAAAGAAAGAAAGAAAGAAAGAAAGAAAGAAAGAAAGAAAGAAATTAGGGACGGGCAAAAGAAAGAAAGAAAGAAAGACATGCCTGGTTTTAATCATTCATGCAAATGTATTTATTTCAATGCCATATTCAAAGAAAGAAAGGAAGAAATTAGGAACGGACAAAAGAAAGAAAGAAAGAAAGAAAGAAAGAAAGAATTCTTTCTTTCCCTGTCGCCATTATTTTGGGATTAGGGAAACGAGAACCCCTGGGACATGAATGGGCGATGTTACACGTGATATACCTTGTGTCGTAAATAAAACATGACTAAAAACGACAGTATGGACGTTCTCCCCAGTGAGCGATTTCTTTCCGAGTCGTAGCATCAGAATGACAAATAGTTTCTTTTGGCGCTATCTTCTCTTCTGCAAACAATTTTCGCTTCGTCTCGTGTTCTCGCGACCTTTCACGCCTCTCTGAATGCGACACGGTTTTCTTCTCTCATCATGCAAAAGGAATTTCTAAACAGTTGGGCGAGGACACTGATTTGAACAATGTGCGGGAAAAGAAACCTTTGGGAAAAAGGAAACCTTTGAGTGATGGTGTGTCAGTGGTAATATCACGATGTTTTCTTTTTAAATTTAAAACAATTGCTTCTTTTTAGCGTTTATTGAAGAAAAAAAATCCTTCAACAAAGGCATTGCTGTAATCAAGACGAAAATCTACACTCAGTGGAAAGGATTTTGATATATGATGGGGATGCGCATGGCCAAAACTAGTATTTGTATTCGTTAATAATAATAATAATAATAATAAAGCGGAAACTAAAGGTTTTATCCTTGCTGCGCAGGACCAATGCTTGCTAACTAGGAATTATCAAGCACATATACTAAAATATTGTGTCAGCCCAAAATGCAGATTCTGTGATAAATACCCAGAAACGATTGATCATCTTGTATCAGGTTGTACGATGTTGGCACCCACTGAATATAAAACCCAGCATAACACAGTGGGCCAATATCTGCACTGGAAAATCTGCAACTTCTACGGAAAGGAATCTGAAAGAAACTGATATGAACACCACCCAGACCCGGTTACGGAGATAGGACCTGTTACAATTCTATGGGACTACACAATACACACTGACAGAACAATCAAGGCCAACCGCCCAGATATTGTTATTAAAGACCACAAACAAAAACGGTGCCTCCTTATTGATATGGCAGTCCCTGCTGACTGCAAAGTATCTTTGAAAATATTCAAAAATTTGTCAAAATACAAGGACCTTGAAATAGAAATCTCGAAAATGTGGCATATGGGAACATCAACATCTCCCTGTTGTAGTTGGAGCCCTAGGACTGGTTGGAAAAAGATTGCAGTAGACTAATTGAAGGGATTCCTGAAGTCCATGCCTCAAGGAGATACAAAAAATTGTTCTGACAAGTACAGCCTACACTTTACGAAGGGCTTTATCTCTGTAATTTTTTTTTTTTTGTCAGTGGAAAGTGTCATGGCGCCATTTCTAACTTTGGGTCCTGGGCGGGACCCCGGAAAGAAATGTAAACGCCAGAAATCAAAGAAAATAATAATAATAATAATAATAATAATAATAATAAAAATAATATCATCATCATCATCATCATCATCATTGTTTCTGCTCTATACACATTTCTTTCCGGGCCCCAACCAGAGACCTAAAGTCATAAATGGCTTCATGACATCTTCCGCTGATCAATTTTTTATTGAAAAAAAAAATGGCTACGATCACTTCGCACATATTACATAGATAAAACTCTTCGTGGTGTGTGAGCTGTACATGTGAGTACAATTTTTTTGTATTTCTTTCAGGCGTGTGGGCTACCAGGAATCCCTTCAATGAGTCTATCGGAACCTTTTCCAATCAATCCGAGTGCTCCAACTACAACTGGAATTATTGACATTCTCATGTGCCACATTTTTTAGATTTACACTTCAAGATCCTTGTATATTGATTTTTTTTTTTTTTTTTTTTTTTTTTTTGAAGATCGTTGTTGTTATTTAGTCCTGGGTATGACGATAAACTGCATCCAGCAGCAAGGTCTATGACCGGGAGATTGTACCTGTTAGTGTCCCAACTGCGGCCAAATAGTGAACCACCCCAGACAAAGCACTATGTATAAAAATACATTTTTATAGTCAAATGACCAACAATAGATCTTTAAAGAAAAATAACCAGCAATACATTTTATCTGCAGTTGAAGCCATAAAATTGTGTTCAAATTATTTAGATGTTGGCATTAAGTAATCCATAGAGATATTAAAATGCCACTAAACAAAATCAACCAAGCAATATGAAAGAACTCTTTCATGAGATTAATCCATGTAATATCCGACAATTTCATAAGTCAAACTGTATTCCAAATTATCAACTTCAACAAAATTACAACATAAAACCCACATATCGCTACCTCTAGCAATTATGTCCACGCAAATATCTACATGCACAAAATCTGAGTATTATCTACCATGTATTCAATTGTGAAAGCAGAATAACATCCTATTTTTATTACTTCAAAGCTCCCAAGAAAATTAAATTTCGGCATTAAATGACCCATGAGGAGTTGATATGCCGTTAAATGAACACATGAAATGATTGTGTTGTTAACTTAACTAAGCTTTCAAAATATGACGTCATATTTAAACATTTTGCAAATTCATTGTGCGTGTAAAATATCAAAAATAGTAGGAACCCACCATGATAACCAAATGCCGAAAACATTTGATGCTGGATTTAGAAGTTCCAAAAATATTCAACTGATGTCTATCGAAGGGATCGCTCAATGGATCTAGGAAATAGTTAAACATGTGTTTCTGTTATCTGATGGCCGTGAGTTCAATCCCTGCAATCGGTTTATCGAACACGGACTTGAATTTGTATGAGCAAAATAAAACAATAATCAACAGATATCCCATATCGGCCTGAACAATGGATTCCTGAAGTTTGCAACGTTGTCTTTATAATAGTACCTTTGAAACTCAAAAAGA